CCAGCAGTGACAGTGAACAGGTGGAGGAGGTAGAAGAAGACAACCATGAAGATCCAAATGATGTGGGAAGGTTTCTTGAGGAGCACATACAGTGGCCAGTTCAGAACCTGGAAAACGATGGCCAGGCGGTGAAGGACGTGGTAAACAAACTCCTCTTCATCTTCAGACAGCTCCTGTCAAATAGTTTCTTCCCAGTGCTGCGGCTCCCCGTTGAGGTGGACAGTGCCTTTGAAGGATGGAGTCCTCGTGAAGAAGACATCGTCTACCGTGTGCTTGTGCCCATGATACCCCCCCGTGGGCACATCTTTTACGTGGAGATGGGCACTGTGAGCCACATGCAGGTGAGGTACTCCCGCATCCGCGTGGAGCTGGAGTGCACCTGCGCAGGGGAGGGGCTGGTGGAGGACATGCTGTGCTTCCTCCACCACCCCGAGGAGGAGCTGAGGAGAAATCAGTCTCCCAGACTCCTACACACCCTCTGCACCCCCTCTGCACTGGCTCCTACCTAGACGTGGAGAAAACTGCCCGCTGGATGCACCAATTGGTGAAAGCAGCCTGGGTGGTTTTGCCCGAGTCATCCCAATGCCGCCTGAAGATGTTTCCCCCTCACCGCTCCTGCAAATTCCAGATAAAAAAACGCAACAACAAAAAGTTCCTGATTGAGCTGATGTTTGGAGTGCAGCGATGCAAATCAGATGTCTTCGTGAGCAACCAGAGTGCAGGGGCCATCTTCACCCCAAGGACAATGTGGTTAGAGACCTACGTTGTGGCAGAGATGAAGTTCTTCAGCCATGTGGCGAGGCAGGCTCCACGTGACAGCTTCCACCTCAAATGCCTGCAGCTCTGCGCCCACATCCTGGTGGGCACAAGTTTTTCCACCTATTTCTTGAAGACAATTGTGATGCACCTCCTGACAAGCATCCCTGTGTCAGACTGGCGCAGGAGGGATTTCCTGATGCGGCTGCTGGATATCATGCAGTACCTGCGCTACTGCCTGGAGGAGAAACGCCTTGACCACTTCTTCTTTGGCAACGAGAACATGCCCGAGGAGATAACCTTGCCCCCAGCTTTCCAAACAGCCACACCACCCAATCTCTTCCAGCACCTGGAGGAGGATCCGGCCGCCCACGCCGAGGCACTGCGTGAGTTCACAGAGCTGCAAGATCGACTCACAAGACTGCTGATTTTCGGCTACTGAGAGAGCCCTTCGTGCACGGAACTGTGTTTGCAGGACTCACAGCTGATGGCAGACAGCGACCTCACAGAGCGGAGAAAAGAAGGGGAGAATGCAAGACATGGAAAGAGAAGGGAAGAACCTCCACAGCAGCCCTCTGCTCAGAGCAGCAGCATTCTCCTCTCAAGTCTCCCCAGCACAGCAGCCCCCGATGGCTGCAGTGGCTAAAAGATGACTTTCATCCCCAGTTCCAGTCAGGCTCATGGTGGTTATTTCACATGGGCCCAGAAATTCTTGCCGGCAGTTCCTGATCGTCACTGGTGGGACTAGAAGTTGAATCAAATCTACAGTAGAATGAGTTTCTGTAGCTAAGCTTTAAGCCTTATTGCTGGACTAGGAAGAGAGGTTAGAGTTTAAGTTAATTAGGTTGTAGAGCTGTAAATAGCCACTAGAAGAGAAAATAGCTGTATCTGTTGGATCTTAAATAAAGATTTTTTTTCCTGATCTCTGAAGATTCCTGATCCCCTGTCCGCTATCAGCTCTACAGCAGTGCATGAATCACAGGGTTCGTTGGAGAAACCATCTGTTTTCTCTGAGCAGAAAGTAGTCCCTTCCAGATCTGAAGGACCAGTGAGTTTATCTGCTCTGTCAAATCCTGTTTGCCAGAGTATCTTGGGGAAAAAAAAAAAAAAAGAAAAATACTTCATGAGGTCATGTTTCTACTTTTTACCCAGCAAATACCCGCTTGCTGTACCTCTTGTGAGGAGCTGAGTGTCAGTTTTCTCCTTGCAGGGTCATAGAATCATTAAGGTTGGAAAAGATCTCCAAGATCATAAAGTCCAACCATCAACCTAACACTACCACGCCCACTAAACCATGTCCTGAAGTACCATGGCTACATGTTTTTTCCCTGGACAGCCTGTCCCAATGCCTCAGAACCCTTTCAGCAAAGA